AGAAAGAATGAAATCTGGCCTGTGTAGCAACATGGATGGACCTTGAGGGTGTTATGCTGAGCGAAATAAGTCAGGCAGAGAAGGACAAATACCATATGTTTGCACGTATAGGAGGATTAGGAGGAACTTAACTGAGGAACAAGGGGGAGAAGAAAGGGGGAAATGGTGGGGGAGAGGGAGAGAGGCAGACCATGAGAGACTCTTGAATGCTAACAAAAACTGAGGACTGATGGGTGTGGGGGGGAGGAGGGATGGGCATGGAGGAGGGCACTTGTGGGGATGAGCACTGGGTGTTATGGGGAAACCAATTTGACAATAAACTATTTGTAAAAAAACAAAAAAAGAATAGGGTGTAAGACTGGGCAGAGAAGGAAAAGGCAAGTTGGGGGGCTCCTTAATATTTCTACTATTTTAGGGGCACCCTGGGGCAGCTCAGTGGGTTAGGCATTTGACTTCTGCTCAGGTCCTGATCTCACAGCTTGTGAGTCTGAGCCCCTAGTCAGGCTCCGTGCTGACAGCTCAGAGCCTGGAGCCTGCTTTGCATTCTGTGTCTCCTTTCTGACCCTCTCCTGCTCATACTCTGTGTGTGTCTCTCTCTCATAAATAAAATTTAAAATAAAAAGGAAGAGGAAAAGGTGAGGAATTCATGAGAAAAAAGAGGCACAGTGTGAAGGGAACATGAGACCTTTCTCTCTTTTATTTTTTTAAGGAAAAGTTCATTCTATTTGTTTGAATTCTCATAAAGGATTGAAATGATAGAAATTTAGCTAATTTTAAGTAGATGAACTTCACAGGGTTTTGTTCTTTCATAGCCTTTAGAGTCAGGGATTTCTGACTTGAGAAAGAAAACATCTTCAACAGAAAGCTAGATGGGTCTTTGAGACCTGAATTCCTATTTAGAAATTACATGTAGAAATTTTATCAAGGCACTTGCTTATTTTTAAGACTAAAGTTCTTTCATTTGTTCTCCCCACATTTAGTTATTTGTTTAATAAATGTGAGTACTGACTCTGTACCAGGTATCCACATTTCCAACGGGTAACAGCATCCAATGGAAAACATTACACACCAAGAACATCCAAATACTTACAAAAGGTACTTAAGTGTTTTTGCAGTTAGCAATATAATTAGCAATATAATGATATTAATGATATAATGTTGTAGGCCTTATTGTGTTCAAAAATAATTCCTCTATCCCTATTTCAACTTATATACACATAATTATGCTTATATATAAGCTAGCAAAAGGTATATATGTAAATACATATTTACATATATTATCTATACATATGCAAATAGTAGCAAAATATGTATTATACACACACACCAGCGAAATTTGTTGGGTTTCATGAAAGCCTCTTGGACATCTACTGAAATAGTCATTTAAAACTGTTTTAATTTTAACCGTATTTGTAGTATTTAAAAGTACTTTTAGTAATGTATTTCTTTATAGAAAACCGTCAATTAAGTATGTGTGGTTTTGTTGCTGTGAGGTACGAGTAATTCTCCGAACGAGCATTTTCTCTAATGTTTTATCAGTGTTGACGCCACCTCAACTTAAAACCTGAAGTCTATGCCCATTTCCTTACTGAAAATGATGGTGAGATACACCTTGTCCACGAGCCGCTGACAGTGCGTCCGGATTTTCTGATTCAGAAGGAATCAGGGTCAGTCAACAGGACTTCAGTGTCCACGGAAAGAGCGTCAAGGGAAGAAAGTCGAGTCCACACGGAGGACGCTGGAGGTCAGCAAGGGCAAAGCCACAGTGAAGGGAGTAAGGAGACGACTGCAGGCTGCCGGGGGGGTGGGGGTGGGGCGTGTGTGTGTGTGTCTGTGTGTGTCTGTGTGTGTGTGTGAGAGAGAACGAGCCCACAGGAGGCCTGCCAATCCCCGCATCCGCGCGGACCGGCCCTCCGCGGGCCGAGCTAATTCTGACCGTTCGGCCCTTCTCTCTTCTCCGCCCACGATTCGGAAAACAAAACTCTCACAATTTTCACCCGAAGGGCGCGGCACAGCTTCCCCAGCCCATCTGGGCGGGTCAGAACCGGGGAGCGGGGCGGTGGGGGGGGCCGCCTACACCTGCATCCGCCTGGCCGGGGACCCGCCGCCTCACCGCCGCATCCCTGTCACCTCGGCGCACCGCCCCCCACCCCCTTCACCCAGAGCACGCCCGCCCATCCCCGCCGGCGCGCACCCCCGTCACCCGCGTCACCGCGGCCCCCGCCGCCCCCGGGAAGGATACAGGTCGGCGCCAGGCCGGCGGCACCCGCGGCCCGAGCGGGGGCTGAGGGGGGCTCCGTCGTGGGCGTCCGAAGACTCGGTGCAGCGCGCCGCCACTGCGCTCCGGGCTCCGGGCCTCCAGGCCAGCATCCTTCACCTGCGCGCCGCCGCCCGGCCCGCCGCCGGCGCCTCCCTCATGGCAGCCCCGGCCCCGTCGTCCTCCTCCGCCCCTCCCTCCGCTCCGTCTCTCGGGCCTCGCGTCACGGGCGCGGGGGGCTCGGCCGCGGCAGCTCCGGTTCCCGTGCAGCAGCGACGGCGGCTGTGGCGGCCACCCTACCCGGCACCTGCAGAGGGGGCGGCAGCAGCGCCGCCGACGCCGCCGCCATCTTGGCAACCAACGGACGCCGCGTCCTTGGCGACCGAAACCAGGGCGCCGGCCGGGGCGGGGCTACGCGCCGGGAGGCCAATAGGCGGCGGGGGCGGGGCCCTGGCCTCCGGGAGCCGAGTCTGCGCAGCATCCCCGCGCGGCGCCGGGTCCGGGCGCCGGCCGGGCTCAGGCCTACGTCCGTCTCCGTGGGGCGTGGCCGCGGGGGTGTTGAGAGGGCGGCGGCTGCGTCGCGGCTGTCTCCCGACCGCGCGGCCGGGCTGGTGCTGGCGCCGCCGACTCCGGTGGGGTTCCAGCCGGGAGTCCTCGGGGAGACAGCGTCCCGAACGAGGCTTGCTGACGTGGAAACTTCCTGGTCCCCACGTCCCGCGCCGGCCCGGGACGCTCGGCCCGTCCCTCTTTTCTGCCCGTGCCGGCTCCCCGCTGGAAAGGGCTGCCTTTCAGAGGCCCCGGGGGGCGCGCGCCTCGCTGCGGGACGGTGGGAGCCCGGCCCCCCGATGTGGCCTAGACACACGTCCCCGGGCAGGATGTGCCCGCGGAGGTCCCCGCGCTGCCGTTGCTGCGGGGAGCGTGGAAAACAGAATGGAGTGCGGGGGCATCAATGTGACGGCTTTGCAAATGAAATTTTGAAGGGAAAAAAAAGCTGGAACTTTTTGTTGGAGCTCATTATAAAAGTACTTATAAATTCTGACTGTGTTGCAGCCAGAGTTTTGTGGGGGTTTTTTTTTCCTCCGGTGGAAAAACTCCCAGATTGGAAGCAGAAGGTACACACCAAATAAAAATCACTCACCCACCATTGAAATGCCTCTGCCTTTGCGAATCACTTTGTTCATTTTTAGAGTTCAAATATAAACTTTTCCAGTTGAGACTATTTAAAACAGTTTTTGCCAACTTGGATGCAGTGACTCAAATTGAAATGTCATCTGGGGACTGAGGTTTTGAAGCCGCACCAGATCCAGCTTTGACCTAAACCTCAGAACGGGAAAGCTACCTTCAGGGCCACGGCAATTGGACAGAATGATAATGTTGGCAAAGAGAGGCCGGCTGGGCGGGCAAGGGCCGCTAGCTGTGTTGGCCTGGGTGACCCGCCTAGCAGCCCGCCGACCTGTCCTCACAAGTCTGTGTCTCTCGGGCCGCCGTGGAAGAGTAAGAAAAGCCGGCAGTGTGCACACAACAGTGAGAAGATCGTGGTTGCTGCTGTGGACTGAGTACTCTTGTGCAGTATTTAGGCATCCTTATGTTGCGCATGAATTTAGCCTCGGTCCTTCCATCTTGCCCCGGAGTTTGCCCTGGCCTGCACTCGGAGAGCTTCATAACTATCCTCAGGTGCAAGGAAAAACACAAGAAGATAAGGGTTAATGCTCCCTGTTAATGGTTATTTATGACACAGTTTGCATACTTTGTCCTTGAGATAATGGCGATTCCCTTAAAACTCCCCTACAACCCTAAACCTTGCCCTCAAAATAAGGAATGTTTTCCTACTCACATAGATCAGATAAAGGGCTGCTCTCTTTATCACTTTGTAGCCTTTTTTACAATAACCTCTCAATTCTGCTTCTGTACTTCCCACCTGCCTGCTTGCTCATCATAAAAAGCCCTAAATCCTTGGGCTCAAGGCCGCACACTTAGAGTTCTATGTTAACTCTGTGCAGTCCCGGCCGGTAATAGAGACTCCCTTAATTCGGATTCAGTGGTCTCGGTTGGTCTCTGGGTCTCTCGGCATAATACTTAGACTTCCTGAAAGTCTAACTTTTGTTATTATTAGTCTGGGATTTTGTAATTTCTGGGCACTTTTGTGCTTTGCTGCATGGTATATTAGCATTAAGGAGCACAGCTTGGTTTCTCAATTGCCTGGAAGTGCTTGTTTATATAATCACTCTTCATTTAAATGTTGCTTTACAATGATGACCAAGAAGAAAAGAAAATTTAAACAGTGTTATTTTTAAAAAATTTTTAATGTTTAATATAATTCATTCTTTTATTAAGGAAATGTATATTGAGCACTTACTATGTGCCAAGCACATTCTAGCTGCTGGGGATACAGTGGTGAACAAAACTTCAAAGTCTCTATGCTCATGAAGCTTGTATATATTTTTCTCCCTGCCCCCCCCCATATATAAGGTAATCAAAAGTGCTATGAGGGAAGGGGTAGTGTAGGGGACAGAGACTGACCAGCTGTATTTTAGGTGGGGTGCTCAGGGAAGGCCTCGGAAGAAGGGAAATTAGGGCAGAGGTCTGAACGAAGAACGGAGGCTACCATTCAGATGTCTGGATGAAGAATGTCACAGACAGAGGGTGCTGTAAATACAGAAGGCTCTGAGAGCAGACTTCTATTTGATATGTTTGTAGCCCAGCAAGAAGACACTGTGTCTAGAAGAGGGTGAGGCAGGGGAAGTGTGAGAGGACATGAAATTGGAGAACTACCTTGTGTAACGTAGCAGGGATTTAGACAATATTCAAGGAATCAGTATAAAATTTGACTTCAAATGAAGAGAATGCCATTGGTGAGTTTTGAGTACAAGAATAATATGATGTAAGTCAGTCTTTAGAAAGGATCACTATAGGGGCACCTGGGTGGCTCAGTTGGTTAAGCTTCAGACTCTTGATTTTGGCTCAGGTCATGAACTCAGGGTGGTACCATCAAGCCCTGTGTCCAGCTCTGAGCTGAGCATATAGCCTGCTTGAGGTTCTCTCTCTCCCTCTCCCCCTCTCTCTCTTTCACCTTCTGCTCCTTTTCTCCACTCACTTAAGCTCTCTCTCAAATTTAAAAGAGAGAGGGAGAAAAAAATATATCACTCTAGCTACTATAGGGAAATTCAGACTCTAGTTGATAAGGCTAGAAATGATGAGATTAGTTTGAATGTCATTACGGTAGGTTAGGTGAGAAATTAGATGGTGGTAATTCAGGTGGTAAAAAATGTTCAGAATTTTAAACCTTGACCCAATAAGATATGTTGATGAATGGCTGTGGCAATGAGTGAAATGGTTGTGAGGGGAAAAAAGAGTCAAATGTGACTCCATGATTTGGCGCTGGACCAATTGGATGAAAGATATTGCCAGTTACTAAGATGGGGAGGAGCAAGTGGAAGGGGGAAGGAATGAAATTTGGGCTTCAGACATGAGCTAAATAGGACATGTCTAGTAGACACCCCACTTCATTCACATCCCTCATAAATTGTTAATGATGTTCTATCTACAAAAGAAACCAGAAATAACGCCTTTATGGTTACAAAGCATGTTCACATAGCTTATCTAATTTGAATACCCTAATAACCTTGTGAATTATGCAAAGCAGCCTGAGATGGACAGTCTCTTGAGCTTTCACTTTCATCTTGACTGAGGCTATTTTTGCCGCCTCTGCTGAAGTATTTTCTTGCTCTGGTAAGAATTTGCTGGATTTGTCTCTGGGAAAGCTGGGAAAGAACAAAGAATTTTTTTTTTAATGTTTTTATTTATTTCTAGGAGAGAGAGAGAGACAGCATGAGCAGGGGAGGGTCAGAGAGAGAGGGAGTCACAGACTGAAACAGGCTCCAGGCTCTGAGCTGGCAGTCAGCACAGAGCCCGACGCGGGGCCCAAACCCACGAACTGCGAGATCATGACCTAAGCGAAAGTCGGACGCTTAACCGACTAAGCCACCCAGGCGCCCCATAAAGAACAAAGAATTTTAACATCTGCCCGATGTAAAAATTACTGAGGTTCTGCCCCAGGCATTACAATTTTATAAAATTTCAACTAGAAATTTGGGATTAAAGATAATCCTCATCTCCTAATACAGATGATAAAGGTCATCAACATAGTCAGCAAAGTTAGAACTGCAATATAGATCAAGTCAACTAATAGTAATAATAGTAACACCTAACATTTGGTGCTTGTTTTTCTCACGCATTGTGCTAAGTGCTTACGTATAAAAATGATCAAATCCACACAGTTATCCCTATTCTATGAAAGAAGTAATCAAGCTATAGTGATGTTAGGTCCCAGAGCAAAGGCGCCATGGAGTCAAGATTCAAACCCAGGCAGATCGGTCCTGGGACTGCCTCATCCAACCACCTCATGACGTCCCTGGAAAGATAGAAAGTTCCAGGAGAGTAGCAGACAAGAGTGGTTGGGTCCATTGGTGGTGGTGAGGAAGTAAAGTCAGAGAATACATAACTGGTTTAAGATATTATTTCATTAATTAATGTTTGAGCATCTCGTGTGCCCCAGTCACTATATTAGCGCCACATAAACTATGGCATGGTCCCCTTCCTGGACTTCTCAGGCAAAGGAAATGGAGAAAACAATCCCTTGAATAGGAAGCAAGACTCAAGAAAGTTTTGGATTATTTTATTTTATTTTAGCATAGTGAATACTTAGGCGTGTTTCTATACTGAAGGGAAGGAATTGTTGTAAGGGAGTATTTGAAGAGTCATTACAGACATTGATCTATCAGCTTTGAAAGAGAGGCCAGTTTCAGTGACGATAGTTCCTCTGTGTTCAGAATTTTTGAAGTTTTAGTAATACAGAAGTAAAACATACATATCAGAGTTCTAGAAATTTGGCATTGATGTGATTAATATGACCATCATTGGTGGCTAAGCTCCACCATATTTTACATTTGAATTAGCTTCCCTGCACATCCACATTGATTGCATTTCTGCTTGATGTTTTGTAAAAATAGTATCAATGTTATATTGAAATACTGAATACTCCGTTATTCATTTCTACCTCCTTACTGTTTTTATGCATACTGGTTTGCAATGATTGAAGGATAGTTTATCAGAGGTGTTTTCCTCAAGGCCATAAAAACCTGACTCCCGAACATTAGATGAATTTATAAATTCA